TTGTTTAGCTAAAAGCCTAAACCGTTTCCCATTCATTCTCTATGGTAGTGCTAAACCACTACGGATGTAATATACTTTTGGCCACTACGACTTAGTGGCGCTGTCCCGAGTTTTTCTTCAGAGCGCAACTGCGAACTGCGGTGGAGACAAGACACTATCTACTTTCTTCGAATTCTCATCACGCAGTATTCACTAATCAAAGGTAAGAGACTTTGTTTGGCATAAATTTAAAACTATAGGGTCAAATACTTATAAGGTCAATTTCTTATTATTATTTATTTTCTGTCAGACAATATTGGTGCAATAACGTGATAAATTACACTAACAAACAAACGTTATCTATTTAATGGTCAAGTAAAGTAAACTTTTATCAGGACCATGGGTGTTACACTATCTTTCAGAGTCAAATTAAGTCTTAACTACAATATCAAATGTCATTTTGTTCCTCAATTATTTGATAGGAACTCCTCTCCTGCCCCATTTGCCCCTCTCCAAACTCATACACTTAAACTCAGGTGCTTAGGCACACACAGTTTTTTTCCCACATCTACTGCCCCTCTCACTCCCCCCTCTATTCTTGCTCACACATGCTGTGCTTTCCCCCTCCTGCTGCTCCCACCCCACCCTCTTACCCTTTAGTTCTCAGGCAGACTCTCAGATGTACAGAACACACACACACACACACACACACACACACACACACACACACACACACACACACACACACACCTTCCTCCCCTTAGATCCCAGAGTAGGTGAAGATCAGAAAGGTGTGAAAAACTATTGTCTTTTTGGCCTTCTGAACTTTTTAGTGAAGATCATAGAAGTTTTGCCGCTGTAAAATATTTAATTGGCCATTTCTATTTGAGTGGGATTAATATGTGATCTGAAATATTCTGGTATTTTTTTCACAAATATCTTCACTGTATCTGATTAAAATGAATCTAAAATTCTATTATTTTCTTTTAGGTAAAGATGCACAAGAAAGTGTTGTTCTTCCCGGGGAAAGTCTGTGTTGTGTTCCGCAAGGGACCACTCGGATTTCTCCTCTAGGAGCCGTCAAAGGAAGCCAGAAGAATTAAGGAGGACTCCACTCTGCAGGACAAGTCTGCCCCCATACGGGCTGACCTTGTTCAGCAGAATGCTCTGGCTGTGGTCCGTCGGAGAGGAGGGGATGCCTCAGACTGTACGGAGGTGCTGGGAGACTACATCCTGCAGTTTGGGAAGTATAAAGGGAAGTCTTTCAGGTGGCTTTTGGAGAATGATATAGGGTACACAATGTATCTTATTAAGAACTTGCAAAAGGAGGAAGCATCAGGTGACAGTGTGACTGCAGGGCATAGCAAGGACAGCCTACAGTCCTTTGTCAATTATTCCCTCAGTTTTGCTGAGATCCAGTCTCTCCGAACCTATGAGGCAAGTGGAGGGGTTGTTATGGCAGCCTCATTGGAAGATGACCAGCTGGTTGGCTTTGGCACTCGTGCTAAGAGCACCTGGAAGGAGATTTGGGACAGCAGAGCTGATGGCTATATAGCTGATAATATAATTTTTTTAAATGAAAATCTGCTTTTAAGATTTATACTTTCAGTCCTACAAGTTTTTAATGATTGGTGTGGGCTTTGTTTTGTGTTACAGATCTGCTTTAGTCTGGGGTGCCTCTGTCTGCTTCAGCTGCCTCTCTAAGTTCATTTTAAATGTTCACCTTTGATCTGTACTTTGTCTTGTTTGAGGCAACTGCAGAAAAAACTCTCACACATGTAGCATGTGGCAAAGTAAGGAGTGTAGCTATCTTTTCTAACCGCTGTTGTACAGCTAGAGCTGAGGGCAAGATATGACTTACCATATTTTCTTGTCTTTGTTTTCAAAGTTGTGACTTAATGGATTAATTGTCACCCTGGCATTTACCTGGAAGTCCTACAACACAATTTGCCATGCTTTGCTGGCAATGCAAAACGATGTGGATTGCTTTTATTTAAGCTCGATGCCTTCAACTGTCATAACCATGGGCCCCACTTTGGGAATCACTGGTTTAAGAGGATGTTAAATTAACCTTGTATTTATAACTTTCACTGAATGTTCTGATGCTGCTTTTTATCTTGTACCACCCTACTTCCACCCACCATCCATTATAACTTGCTTGTAAATTAAACTATTTTCATGAAAAAAAATTGAAATTTATTGTCTTTGTTACTGCTTGGAATTAAAATAATATAGCTTCTTTTCAACTTAAATGTGCCATTTATATACAAAACCTTCTGTCTCATATGCTTTATGGGGTCTGAATAAAAATGCTAAGATGTACTGCTGCCAGTTCACCAACATGGACATTTTAATGCGGTTTCAAACTTTTATATTACTTTTTAGAAGGTGTGCATGATTTAATCTGTATACAAAACAAGGAAATCAATGACATATTCAGATCTTAGTAAATAGTAGTAAATTAGATTTTTAAACTAAAATGATTTATACATGTACTTCAGGTACTTCACTCTCAATAAACAAGGTAACAACAAAGGGAATCTATTAAAGTCAATATTAAACAATGTGTTTCATCACAACACAATAGCCTAAATCACATCTCAGATTTGTCTCAGTGGGGATTTGAACCTGCACTAAGACAGCATTCGAACACCTTGGAAAAAAAAAAAAGATACTTTAATCCTATTGGCTGATTTTCTGTTACAGCTATTCGCAACTTGCCACCATTATGCTACGTAGCTTTCATGTACTGAAGTGCTGAATCTCTTCTATTAGTTGTTACTGTTTCTGTCAGTATCATCATTTTTTTGTGTTTATTATCGATGGCTTATTATTTTGATTTGAAGGTGAAGTGCTTGGTGTGCTTTAAGAATCTTTCTTTCAGTCTTTCTTTCAGTCTTTCTTTCAGTCTTTCTTTCAATCTTTCTTTTTTCCTGGACTTGTAGTTCCCGTAAGTCCTCAAACTTGTTGAACAATAGATTTATATATATTGTTGTTTCATAGGCTATATCTTGAAAAAATAAGATCACCGAATGATAATATGATTATATTAACTAAGGTATGTTATAAAGTAATATTACGTGAATCATTATTGGTTGAAGTAGGTAAGGTAACTTTACTACAGTCTGATGTGACTGTTAAAGTGTCATCAAGGTAACTTTACTACAGTCTGATGTGACTGTTAAAGTGTCATCAAGGTAACTTTACTACAGTCTGATGTGACTGTTAAAGTGTCATCAAGGTAACTTTACTACAGTCTGATGTGACTGTTAAAGTGTCATCAAGGTAACTTTACTACAGTCTGTTGTGACTGTTAAAGTGTCATCAAGGTAACTTTACTACAGTCTGTTGTGACTGTTAAAGTGTCATCAAGGTAACTTTACTACAGTCTGTTGTGACTGTTAAAGTGTCATCAAGGTAACTTTACTACAGTCTGATGTGACTGTTAAAGTGTCATCAAGGTAACTTTACTACAGTCTGTTGTGACTGTTAAAGTGTCATCAAGGTAACTTTACTACAGTCTGTTGTGACTGTTAAAGTGTCATCAAGGTAACTTTACTACAGTCTGTTGTGACTGTTAAAGTGTCATCAAGGTGACTTTACTACAGTCTGTTGTGACTGTTAAAGTGTCATCAAGGTAACTTTACTACAGTCTGATGTGACTGTTAAAGTGTCATCAAGGTAACTTTACTACAGTCTGATGTGACTGTTAAAGTGTCATCAAGGTAACTTTACTACAGTTGCAGTCTGTTGTTTCCATGTTAAAATCATTTTAGGTTGCTGTTCTTGCTGTCTGATGTTGCCTGTCTGTAGTCAAAGTTCAAATGAAAATCACTCCACACAATTCGTATGTTCTTGAGTATTTCTTGATCTAAGGTAAACCTGTTACTGACCTTAATCTACATTTCAAAAATCTAAAAACACATGTATGTTTGGTACATACTCCTGCCATTACTCCTGACCAAGGCATCATGAGACACCAAATGAATATTAAATTAAGAGCATATTTATTGTATCCTATCATATTCTATGATGTGTTGTAATAGTAATCTTCTTGGTTGTGAAAACCTGTAATTGTTTTTGTTACTTCCCTAACAGATCACATTGGAAGCTGCCAAGGTTCCCATAGTGATAAGGTCCACATCTTGTTCCTGTGCTGCAGGGAGAGCCTTTGGAACCACTTGGTGGGGCTTCTTTATCTAAGTGCCCGTTTCAGCACCTCGAACTACAAGATTGTGCCATTACATGTGTCTTGCACTGACAGACTGCAGACCTGGCACAGGCCTCGGACCCAGGTCAGGAATCAACACGAGGTTATGATTATAAGGAAGAGCAAGTTGGCAGTTCTATTAAAAACACACAAAATATAAGCGATGAATCCTCATATAATCTTGTGTGGTAGGGCCCTTCCTGACCCGGGTGTGATGTCTGTTGGAGAGAAATTGAAAGACATTCAGCCACAGCTGGGGATCTGTAAGATTCTTCATGGACTTGAGGAACTCACCATGGTGGAGTCCAAATTTGGTCTTGTGCCCTTTGGATCAGTTCTATCACACCAGTGCCCCCTAGAGAGCGTGCCCTGGTGGGGAAAGTGGACGCGGGGAAGATCAAGCACAAGTGGGAGAACCTCAAACAAAAATACAAGGTAGGCATAAGTAAGCTGCTGCCTTCCAAAGGTGTGAGATCACCTGCAATGACTTTAATGTAGCCTTTACACAAGTGTGTGTGTCTGTGTGTGTGTGGTGTGTGTGTGTCCAAAACGGGAGTGAACACGGAGGGAGGAGAGGCCACCGCTGCATCCTGGAAATGGTATGCCCTGATGGACGAGGCACTGGGTCGGAGGCCTTCAATAACACGTCCGGTCACCATTGACTCTTCAGGATGTAGTGGTGGTCTCTCCTCCCTCCCCTGTACAGAAACGACTAAAACACAGACACTTCTAAGTGAAATCCAAATAGGCAAAATGTGAAACAGGCACTTTTATTAACAGAACATGCAATGTGAGCATGCTCATGAAAAATTATATTTGTGAACAAACAAAACCTAAATCTCCATAAATAAAAGTAGTGGAAATGAAATATGTTAGTAGTTATGGTCCTGCAGTGCTTGGATGACCCCAATAGGTGCAAAAACTTCTGCTGCCAGCCTGTTCCTCATGTTGTCTCCTGGCATCATCAGGGTGGTCCCAGTGGTCATCACCCTGGTCATGGAAGGCCCCCTCCTCCACCTCTGGCTCCACCAAATCCCCATTGTTGATGGAGAGGTTGTGGAGGAAGACACAGGTCGACACCACTGCAGGAACAAAGGTTGGCTTGATCTACAGGAAAAAATACAAGTTTAATGTAGCTGTATAATGAAAGTAAACATGATTGAATAGCTCGCATTACGCTGCTCTTTTGTTTTCATTATTGTCTCAGAATGTCCATACCTGTATTACTTTGCTGCTTATATTTAATAGCCACTGCTCAGCACTTATTCAACTAGTGTGTACTTAGAATGGCTGCCATGACGTGAGTGGGTGCTACAAGCTGCAGTCTGCTGGCTCAATTATTTGTCTATTGAGGTCGCTGAGATTTATATTTCCACTCTAAACTTTGCTGATACTAATGAACTGCTTGTGGTGAATCAAAAAACGTAAACTATAGCAGCCTTCAGCATCAAACCAACGAGTTATTGGACCACATCCTTCTTATATTGAGGGAAAAAGTTTGCTGGCCTCACAATGGGTGATGCGCAAATGACTCTCCAAAGTGTCTTGGATATGATGCAGCACATGAAGCTTGACATGATTTCACACATGGACACTAAAATGGATCAACTTGGAGCTAGTCTGACCAAAATAGATGGCTCTCTTAGTGTGCCTGGAGAGCAGGTCAACTGGAGAGCAGGTCAACTGGAGAGCAGGTCAACTGGAGAGCAGGTCAACTGGAGAGCAGGTCAACGAGCTTGAGCACAGAGTTAGCTCGAACGAGGATGACATCACAGACCTGGCCAGACGTGTAAAAGTGCTCGAAAAGAAAACACTGACCTGAAAGCATGGGTTGAAGACGCTGAGAACCGAAGCAGACGCTCCAACCTCCGCTTCATCGGCATCCCGAGAGGGCCGAGGGTAATAACATCCTTGGCTTTATGAGTCGTCTGATCCCGCAGCTTCTAGGTGAAGCGGATTTCTCCTCCGGTGATCGAGCGCTGTCATCGTACTGCTGTCAAGGATAACTCCAGAGCCAAGGGTCCCAGGCCGATCTTGGTAAAGCTCCACTACTTCCAGGACAAGATGAAGATAATGAAACTCTCCAGGGAGAAGAAGGAGCCCCCTCAGTACAAAGGAGCTCGAGTTTATATCTACCCGGACTTCTCCGCTGGTCTGATCCAGAGACGCCGGGGTTTTGATGCGATTAAGAAAAAGCTCCGTGACAGAGACATCAAATACGCCTTGATCTTTCCCTGCACGTTGAGAGTTGTCCGTGCTGGTAAGACACTTTTTCTTCGCACACCTGATGAAGCTGAGACATTTTTTGGTGAACTTTCCTCCATTGATTCCTCCATTGACTCTGACATGACAGCTTAACGCTAGTGGCTAGTGCTAACGTTAGCACAGAACTCTGAAAAGAGGCTGATGAACTTTTTTGTTTATTTTCCCTTTCCATTTTTATTTCACCGTCAGGTGAACTCTTTTGTCTATTTCCCTTCTTGTAATTATTTTACCATTGGACCGGCAAGTTTTTTTGTTTGTTTGTGTTTTCTGTTTTGATTTACAAAGTGGGCGTTGGGCTGCTGTGATGGATGCTGCCTTACTAGTGTTTGCCGTAAAATGTGTCGCAAATGCCGTAAAACTGTGTAACACTAAAAGAGTTCGGCTATTTTAAGTTGATGGGAAGGGATAGACCCTTACAATAATTTATTACAATCAGTGAAAACTCTGAATGATGAAGTAAATTAAATATGAAGCATCTGAGGTTTCTATTATTTTATTATTTTCTAGTATGTCATCAGATGACTTCATAAAGGCCTACTATATCATTTAGTATGAATAAACTTACCTCTGTTTTTTTAAATCTAATAATAACGAGCTATGCAGGCTGAGCTATGTACCACCTGTGTGTGTGTGTGTGTGTGTGTGTGTGTGTGTGTGTGTGTGTGTGTGTTGCTCTCCTGCTTCTCTCTTCACCTGCTTATTACATATTGCTA